AATCATCCATGAGGACTCATGCCTCCAACTAAACCATTTGGGGCATTGAGTTCTTTGAGATTGGTTATATTCCATTAATTCCATATCTTTTTCCTTTAATGTTAATGTGTCGGAACGTGACACTCCGATCCAATTATATCGTGTCGAAACGTGACACTTCAATTCAAGAATATCGTGTTGGAATGTGATACTTTGATTCAATTACAATGTCGGAACGTGACACTACTATCCAATTATATCATTAATTTATCATTTATTATAAGCACTTTCAGTTCATTGATAATATTTCATCCAACCTTCTTTATTCAAGGCATCACTTTGATAAAGAGAGTTCAAGAATATAAATTTCACGGTCTCAGAATTTCAGACCGATCGCAAGCCACACAACCACACAATCAAGTACAAGAAAACTTCACAATAACATTCAATGCATATCGGTCACTATTAAGAGTTTACTATTAAATAGCATAAATCATAAGCTACCTCCACCGAAGAATCGAAGTGAAGCAAGCTACTTCTTCAATACTTTCTCTTCTAATCTTCTTTTGTCTTCTCTCTGGCATCTTCAGCTTCACTATTCTGCAACAACCTGAATTTAAGTATATCTTTTGAAGCTGTTTTACAGGCTTGACTTGTTTGGACTTTGTTTACTTAGGATCTAACGTGAGCCTTCCTGGAAAATGTTAGCTTCAGATTGTCCCGCCTCTTCATGGACGGACCACTAGAGGTGTATCACTATCCTTAAAAACAAGGCATGTCCCATTATACTGTCCAATCAGCTTGATTTTACCATCGATGGTCAAGACTTGAGAGAACGTATAGTGCATTTGGGGCATGTAAACGAATGTCATCAAAATCAAACAACACATACTCCATGTAAAGTGACTGGTTTTCCATCATACAGCGCAACAGAAAGTAACAACACCAAGAATTGCAATGGATGATACACACAGAGGAGGGAAAGAAGTGAAGGACAAAAGCACAAGACTGAAAGACAAGGAAATCGAAGCTTCTAACTTTACTTAGATGCACAACTTCATGCCTTCCTTCTGATTCAGAAATTATCCTCTGCTTTTAGGATTGAAGCACTATCTCAATGAGGATTTAAGAGTTGAAAATAGTTAGCAGCTATGGCGTTGAGCGCAACCTCTTTGTTTTTCCGGAGATTATTTACTAACCTAATTATTATATGGTTGATTATAAAAGTAGTAAAAGCGATTCTAATGTTGTTTTCTCTAACCACTAATTAAATAAATTATTAAAACTATCCCACTAATTTCATAATTATAATTATGAATAGTTCAAAACACTCATTTGTAATCTACCGAAAAGTATTTTATCAAATAAAAACTCTAATACTCAAAACAACCAAATGAATTGTTACACAATATTACTTCAAGTATTATTTTTTTAAAATAAAAAATTAATGTATTTATGTATCCAAATATACGTGTGTATCCTTTCAACTTGTGATAATATTGCAATATAAATGAACAATCCAAAAATATTTAAAAAAACAAGGAAATTTAAATCAACACAAGTATTCATATGTATAAATATTTCTCTGTATCAATATATCAATACAATTGGAGATATAGAACCATTGCGATTCTTTGTTTTTCTTTCATTCTCCATTGCAGCAATATAACCTGAAAATTTGGCTTGCTTTTTAGTGATACACAAATTGAAAGAAGGTAGTTCATCCAAAAATACGTCAAATAAATGTTTTACATTTTATAACTCTCCTTGCAGTACTAATTTCCACTATTATAATGGAGAAAATAAATTTTTCAAACAAATTCCTATGAAAAGAAAAAGAAAATATGTTTATATACAAATATAATCGTTATAAAAAGGAAAAAAATGTATTACAAGATACCTAATGAAGAAGAATCATAAAAACCACTTTTAAAATCATACAAGAGTCGTGAAATTGGAGGATTTTGAAAAAAAAAAAGAAAAAATAATTTGTGACATAGTAATATTTGAAAGAGGAAGTAATGAAAAGTATTAAGATGGTAAACATGGAAACATCATCGTAAAATGTGCCTAACCATAATTGATTAGGCATATGATGATAATTTTGTCATTTAATACTCATTTATATCTGTATTAAAAAACTGAATTTTTTATGTATATAATAAGCTTTGCTATTTAATATTTAATTATATTCATAAAAAAAAGAAGAGTAAACTCTAGTTATTTATTTTAAATGTATATTGATGTTTGCTATATTTTGAAGTTTTTCCTTGTTTGTTTTTTAAATATGGCCGCAGTTAACAAATACAAAACATTAGTTTCGTTAGCACTATGGCTTTTAATCTTCACCATGACATTATTGACTTGGCTTTTCGTGTCTTTCCGTGGGGTTTTTTTTTTTTTTATAGAGAAAGAGTGGATGGGGATCGGAGGAGAGAATTGTCATGTAGAATATGTGTATCTATTCATTTAATTTTATATAAATTTAAGTGTCTACTTGTTTGCATTCAAAGCTGAAGGACATAAATGATAGTTGAATTCAAGTTAAAAAATACATTAATATATTACGTATGTCTCTTATTCTCTATTATCTACATAGATAAATGAATTTTGAATGTCATTAATGAAATATCTTTAAAACTATAATTGAAATTTTATGTATAATATAAATAGCTAATCTTTTATGAAATTATTATGAATATATATATATTTTTTAATTAATTAGTTTTGTATAATTGCATTGATATATATTTGGTTATCACGTCATTATAAATTCCGTTAAAACTAATTAAAAAAAATTGTTCATCTATTTGCATAATGACATTAATTAGCTTATAATGACAATAATATGATGATATTTAAAGAAGTATTCAGGACATAATGGTATAATAAATATTTAGAAAGTCAATTAGGTTAGAAGAGGGAGCGATGGGGAGGGGGAGGAGGTGACTATTTCTCTAAGTTGAAGAAGAAGTTTGATTTTTATACTAAAGTTTTGTGATGTAGATGATCTTCACCCATGCAAAAGTATAACTCCAAATTAGTGCCTAGTTGATTCCAAATGTATCAATCATAGCAAGAGAAGTTGGAAAGTAAATATGAATTATGTTTATGCAAAAGTAGCTTATTCCAACTTGTATGATTCTTAAGTCATAGAATCTGATTATGGTGTTATTCACGGGGAAGGGTTATAGCTTGAATTCATGGTGGAGAAGACCCTTGTTGGGTGGGATGATCATGATAATGGCACGGGGTTTAAGATTTGATTATAGTTCAACTATTATTGGGTCATTATTCATTGATTGTTGTGTTTATTTATTGTTTTAGACCACGAACAAGTCGTAATTCATTACAAGGGGAGAACTCCAGTTTTTTAGAGTTTCCAAGACTTGATTGGAGGTAGATGGTGATTGTGTGTTTTTCCTGATTATGCTACATATGTTTGTTAACTGCGTCATTAGTAATACATGCATGATATATGATTAGGGAAATTAGAAATATATGTTGTGAATTGATAGATGTTGTCAGTCACATGCAATGAATGAGTTACATGAATGTACATATGTGATAGTGCTTCATTTTCATTGTGATTAGATGCATTGAATATGTGATTGTGCTTCATTTTCGTTCTCATTGAAGATTCGGATCGAATACCACGTCGGCGCATACTATTGTTGGAACTGATACCACGTCAGCACATTAACATCTAGAACTGGTGTCAAGTCACTACAAGGGGAACGACTACCAATTGGTACACTAACTATGAAATCAATATGTTGGTACACTAACAGTTTGTATGTGTTAGTGATCCATCAGAGAATAGAACTAGCTTGTTGTGATGTAGTGGTTCAAGTTTATTGTGTATAGGGTTGTCAAAATGAACCCAATCATAGGTAATTCGCTCAACTCGTCTAAAATTTAAGGGTTGGGTTCAAGATGATTTGAATTGGGTTCAATTTTAACTCATTCAAACATAATCCACGTGACTGAGATGATTCTTGCATGTTAAGAGGAAGATACACATTGCCCCTAAGAAGAGGTTGGCCATGGTGGTTTTGAAGAGAGATAGAGGTTGACCAAAAAAAAAATTAAGGTGTGATTAGACAAGACATGACATATATTTAATTAACTAGTAACATAGCCATGGATAGAAGAAATAATGGCCCAAGATTAGGTTAAAATATTAGGAGATAGTCAAGCATCGTCTAACTTTTCTTATCAAAATTATTGTTTTCATTACTTTTCTATTATATTGTTCTTCAATTTTTATTATTACATGTAATTTTACTTGAATGTCTATCAATCGGTATTCTATATGATGTGATGTTGCGAGTTTCATCTGCTAGTAAGAGAAGTTGCAGTGTATGAATCCTTCTTACCTAAAGAATGTTTGAAGAAGAAGAAAAAGTTTGATTCTATTTTTCATTTTTTTATCCTCATTTCCCTTTTTTAGTTGCCTTTTGAAGTTCTTCATTATGAACTTTTTTCTAACTTTTCTAGAATCAAGAAAAAGAAATTAGAGACAAGAATTAAGGTATACACGAAGTTCTACTCACAAGCGTGATTGTCTTTCTGGCATCTTTTGACATATAATTTGTTGTTGCTATGATATTTTAAAAATACTAGTCTCGTAGCATGAAAATAGTAAAAATGCACTGAGCAATATGTGGGGTAAAACAATTGTGAGATGCAAGTCCCATCAGTTTGGACATAGACTTGGGCATTGTCTAATCTTATATTTGAGGCATAAGCCCGAAAAATATTTCTAAATGAAAATTAAGATAAATAAACAAGTCCTTAAACTAAGAGAAAATGCATCAAAGCACCTTCAAACTTTACATCAAAAGTTACTTTAACTACAAGGGTAGTGAATACCCCACTTAACTTTCAATTGAAGTTAGTCTCATTCTAACACTATCGTATTAGTCTCACACTGAAAAGTGCATTACAAACCTGCCTCATCATTGCCACGTTAGAGACATATAAAAATTTATTTAATTTTTTTTTTTGATATTATTGAAAGACATCGTCTTACACAATAAAATTATAAAATATCAAGCAATGAATCACCCAAAATTCAATAAGATAGCATCAAATTTTTTGTTCTAGTGTAGGCACAAACCTTATTGATGAAAGGTGTGGAACTTGAGGGTATAACTGAAGATATAATTAATAGGAATATAATTCAATTTTTGACTGTCATTGTTAAATAAGATTAGCTTCATTTTAATTTAAATTGTCATTGGTGAAGAAAATTAGCTTCGACAATAACAATAAACTTAATGTTTTTTTTATGTATCTTTTGTTTATATAAGAAAAATGAAAATTAAAGAAGAAAAAAAAAGATGAGTATGAAGGTACAGGCAAAGATAGGAGAAGAAAAAAGGGCGTTGGATTAGGGGTTTTGAAAAAAAAGAAAAAGTGTCTAAATATATTAGGAGAGGAGCTGATGAAGAAAGAGAACTTGGAGTGGGATATTTTGAAGAAGGAAAAAAGGGGTGAAGGGTTTCAAAGAGGAAACTTCGAGCCCCCACCCATTTTTTCCTTCTTCAAAATAACCCACCCCACCCCATTTCTCCATCTTCGACCTCCCCCCGCTCCTCCCCAACACACTTTTTCTCCTTCTCCCAAAACCCTCACCCAAATGTTGTTTCTCTTTCTCCTGCCACCCCTCCTTCCCCTTTTTTGCACCACCATCCTTGTCTCTTTTAATATTTGATTTTTTATATATAATATGAAGATGCATTGAAATTATTTTACTTTATCATTATTATCCTCAAATTAAAGTTAATTTCTTCAACAATGACGGTAAATATTAAAATCAAAGCTAATTTTTTTACAACAATGACAATCAAAGATATTTTGATGCAAATTTCTTGAATTTTGAGTGATTCATTGTTTGATGTTTTATAATTGTGGCACAAGAAAATGTATTTTAATATTAAACAAAAAAGTTTTAAAAGAAAATTATGTGATGTTGATGTGATACTAATGTGGCGTTGAAGAGGCGTGTGCAAAAACACTTCCTAGTGTGAGACTAGTATTGTAGTTTTAAAGTGAAAGTAAAATTCACTTGAAAATTGTTCAGAAGTGGTATCTATATGAACATTTAGTTAAAATGCTAAAGTAAATTTTGTTGTAAAGTTTTAGGTGATTTGATGTATATAAAATTCAAAGTTTTAAAATCTACTTTTCTCTTTATTCTTAGTCCTGATATTTGTTCTTTTTCTTGTCTTCACAAGATAAATGGGAAAAATGTTCATATGAAAACTAAAGCAAAAACTTTATTTTTTTTCATTTGATATAATTAGATGTTTCTGATTGTAAGTTCATTCTTTACTTGTCTTTTATTTTTCAAGTTAACTATTAAATTTCTGCTTGATTTTTTTAAAAAAAAGTTTGATTAGTTTTTCTAGATGAGCATTTTGATTATTTCCTTAGTGTTTTTTATTAACATTTTAAGACAAAGTAGTTCTACATACATTTTCAATTTATTTATATTTTCTTTTCAATATTATTTTATGTGATTTTATCTTTCTATTTAATTTTTTAAATTATACTAATTTATGAAATATTAAAAGATTAGGTAAAATGCACCGTTGCTTTTGCGCCTTTTTATAACACTTGGTTGCTAATGTTCTTTTCTTTCCTACTGTATTCCTTTTTCGTACCTTGTTAGAAATGATTTACTTGAGCTAAGAGTCTATCGGAAAGCACCTCTCTATCTTCATAAGATAGAAATAACACGTGTTTACACACTATCCTTCTTATGATCATGTTTTTGTATATACAAGAAAATAGAATAGGCTTGGAAGTGTTGATTTGGTCCTCAGAATGACACAATCAGATAACTCTTAAAGGACCTTATCTAACACTAATTTGTGGAAAGCAATAACCTCATTTTATACTAAAGGACAGGAAGTTGAAGCAATCACTATTAGCTCTATTCCTTGGATTGTTCTTGCCTCAAATTTTAACATCAATATTCAAGATATACAGGGGCAGAAATGAAATACAAACAGAGTTGAGATAAGATGGATCGACTTTCCGTTAGCATTTTTTCTATGACAAGGGAAACCCGCAGCCACACCCACTCATGTGCAATAGCTCGAAAATCACACAAGATAGGTAACCCTACTTTCCCTTTCCCTTGCATTGTTGTTACAACTATGTAAAAGTGGTGGCACAACACGTAGTTTCACTTCTTTATCAGGAAGATACTAAGCAGATCTCATCAAAATCATAAGCACTTCACAGTCATCAAGGCAAGCAATGTGATACAGAAAGATGAAACAAGAAATTTAAAGTGGTGCCAATAACAAATGGATAATTATTATCATTACTTTTCTATTATCTTATTCTTCAATTTTTATCATTACATGCAGTTTTTCTTGCATCATTTATCATATAATTTGTTGTTGCTCTCAGTGTTTTAAAAAGTATTTTAGGGCAAGCTTTTGAGCGTGAAAATAATAAAAAACGCATTGGGTAATATGTGGGGTAAAAGAATTATGAGACACAAGTCCCATCAGTTTGGACATACACTTAGGCGGTTGTGTGATCTTCTATTTGAGGCATAAGCTCGAAAAATCATTCTTGATGAAAATTAAAATAGATAAACAAGTCATTAAATTATGAGAAAATACATCAATTCACCTTCATACTTGACAATTGACATTATAATTTACTTTACACAGATACTTTAATACCCCAATTGCCAACTTGCAGGTGAATTACACTATTAATATTAGTGTCACATTGGAAAGTGCATTATATACATGCTTCATCAATGCCACCTTTGAGCTACATAAAACATATAATTGAATTTATTTTTTTTAATTTTCCTTTTGTTATTATTGAAAAACATCTTTTTACCCCCGCAAAATTATAAAATATCAAACAATGAATCACCCAAACATAAAAAAAGTTGCACCCCATTTTTAGTTCTGGGAACTTGAGGATATAACTGAAAATGTTATTATTAAAAGGAATAAGTTTCATTGTTAAAAAGAATAGCTTCCGTTTTAAATTTTAAATGCCATTGTTGAAGAAAATTAGCTTCAATTAAGGGACAATAGCAATAATTTTTATGTATCGTTAGTTTGTATAAGAAAAATGAAAAATTAGAAGAAGATGAGGATGAAGGTGGAAGAAGGGGTGGTAGGAGAAGGAAAAACGACGTTGGGTTGGGGATTTTGAAGAAGAAGAAAAAGTGTATTGAAGGAGGGGGATGGTGATGAAAGAGAAGTTGGTTTAAAGAACCTCCACCCACCCTTCTTTTGCTTCTTCGAGATAACCCAGTTTCTCCAAAGTCCCCACCCTAATTTTGCTTCTTTCTCCTACCACCCCTCCCCCTTTTCTACACCATCATCTTCATCTCTTGTTTTTCTTTAATTTGCTATATATAAACAGAAGATACATCGAAATCATATTATATTTATTCAACAATGGCAGTAAATATTAAAATCAAAGCTAATTTTTTTCAACTGTGACAATCAAAAATTGAAAATAATTTCTTTTTATAACAGTTGTATCCTCAAGCAAGGTTTGTGCTTGCCGTAAAACTAAAAAATATTTTAATACAAACTTTGAGTAATTCGTTATTTGATGTTCTCATTTGTGGAGCAAAAGTATGTCTTTCAATAATAAACAAAAAAAATTAAATATAATATCATATGTGGCGCTAAAGAGGGGTGGGTGTAATGCACTTCCTAGTGTGAGACAACTACTGTAGTGTTGGGATGAAATTTTATTAAATTCACTTGAATCTTGTTAAAAAGGGGTATCTAAATGTCCATGTAGTAAAGTGCTTAAGTAAGTTATGTTGTAAAATCCATCACTGATTTGATTTATCCAAATTCAATTTGTTATTAAATTTTAAGAAATCAAAAATTTAAAAGTCTAAATATTTTTTTTTGTTCTTAGCCCTGATTTCAGTTCTCTCTCTTCATCTTACACAGGATAAAAAAGCAAAAATGCGATGTTCTTTATCATTTGCTATAGTTTGATGTATCTGATTGTAAGTTCGTTATTCACTTGTCTTTTATTGTTCAAGTTAATTATTAAATTTCTAATAAAACTTCATTAGTTTTTTAGATGAGCATTCTAATTATCTCATTTAGTCAAATACTGATTTTAGTTAACATTTTAAGATGAAGTAGTTCAACATACATTTTCACTTTATTTATATTTTCTTTTTAACATTGTTTTATGTGACTTTGTCTTTCAATTTAAATTTTTTTATTAAATTAATTTATAATTATTAAAAATTAAGGAGTTTACGCTTGCTTCCGTACCTTTTTAAGACACGGATGGCAAACGTTCTTTTCTTCCTACTGTATTCCTTTTTCATACCTTCTTAGAAATAATTTACTTGAACTAAGAGTCTTTCAGAAATCACCTCTCTATTTTCACAACATAGGAATAAAGTCTAAGTACACTACACCGCAACTATAGATAATATGATCCTATTTTTGTTTATGTAATAAATTTCCCCAACCACTACTTATTGAATGGGATTGAAAGTGTTGATTTGCTCTTCTGAATGACATAATCAGATAACTCTCGAGGACCTTATCTCACACTAATTTGTGAGAAAACCAATAACCTCAATTTATACCAAAGGAGAGGAAGTTGAGGCAATCACTATGAGCTCTATTCATTGGATTGTTTTTGCTACGAAGTTTAAGATCAATATTCAAGATATATAACACTAATTTGTGAGAAAACCAATAAACTCAATTTAAACCAAAGGACAGGAAGTTGAGGCAATCACTATGAGCTCTATTCATTGGATTGTTTTTGCTACAAAGTTTAAGATCAATATTCAAGATATACAGAAAGTAATGAACTACAAACAGAGTTGACATAGGATGGATCAAAATATGATGCCTCCCAAAAGCATTTGTGAAGAAAACGGGTCACGAACATCGATCATAAACACCAGAAATTATATAGGATGGTACTGAATAAATCTTGGTGAATCAAGTACTTTGACTAACTAGTTAACCTGTCAAAAATAATAATGATAATGATAATAATAATTATGTATATGATGTCGAACATACCTACCAAATCCTTTTTACAGGTGTCTAGAATCAAGAATCTATTTGTTTCGTACGGTTGAAGTCATTTTCCTTACACTCTTCTTGAATGTGCAACTAGAATTTACCAAATCAGATCCTATTTGTACTTGGATTGCTATGGGCTAATTGGCGATGTGATTGACTACCTACTCTCCTTATGATGTACAAGTAACAAACTCCTGAAATCTCTTTGTATAAGAGAACTTTAAAAATGAATAGTCATTCAACCTAGTATTCTGACTTTCATAGGAAATGTAACAACATCTATAAGGTCTTCTAGATTTAGCAATTCACATTCAACGGTGGAACTACCCAAAGCAAACAAGGCACTTCATGATCATGGATTGACATATTGCTAATTTTCATTATCTTCTGCTTTCCCTTGCATTATTTTTTATGACAAGGAAACCCGCAACTACTCCTTTGCAATAGCTTGCAAATCACACAAGAGAGGTAAACCTACTTTCCCTTGCATTCTTGTTAGATATTAGCTAACTTTCTATTTTCAATGAAGGATAGGCATATAAAAAAAAGTAGCACATTTCTCACTTGTGACAACTACATAAAAGTGGTGGCGCAACACACAGTATTAATTCTTTATCAGAAAGATACTAAGCAGATCTCATCAAAATCATAAGCCCTTTCCATTCATCAAGGCAAGCAACATATACAGAAAGATGAAACAAGAAATTTATGGTGGTACCAATAACAAATGGATAATTACAGCACAACAACAAAGAAGTCAAAAGTGTACATTGTTTCAAGCTAGAAATAGCTTCATTTTGCTATTATTACTTCTTATTAAACAACATAATCGATAGATAGACAGGAAACAAACTCAAGCATTTTATCACACAGTAAAAATAAAAACGAATATCAAAACTAAGGAACAACTTTGTAAGCTTTCACCTTATCAATCCAGGAAATGAAGGCTTTTTGTGAGTTCCGGAATCCCAAGAAACCGTGCTCCTTGCTCTTGTTCATAGTATCCAAAGCGCAATCTCCAGAAAGGATAAGATCAACAAACCACCAAACTCCAACCTCCTCCAATTTAGTAGGCACCAATCCATTCTCCTTCACAATCTCATCCCAAACCGCGCCTTTGTCTTTCATCATCTCTACCAATGTGCATCTCTTCCCTTCATCAAACTCCGCAGCTTCCAGTCCAAATTGCTCACCCAAAACCTTCCAGAAATGCTTCCACTTGAAAACATCCCCATTGCTCACATTAAACGCCTCATTCTTGGCATAAGGATCCACTGCAGCCCATATCTGATGCTCGGCAATCAAATCCGCATCAGAGCAATCCGAGTATCCATCCCACGCTCCTTTAACACCAGGAAACTTCAATGGCAACCCTTCATGTTTACATATAGCTGCATAAACACAGAGTGTTCCAACAATATTCATCAAACTATAAGGAGAAAACCCAAATATGGTCCCTGGCCGATGAACTGACCACGTCAACCCTTCCTTCTTCTCCACCTCCTTAAACAAAATATCCTCAAGAACATAATAGAAATTGGGGGCATCTAATCTGGGTAAATCCTCATGAAATGGAGGATCATGGCTTACTTTTCCATACAATTCAAACGGACCCAAATAATGTTTCCGACCCGTTTGCAAACAGATATGCCGCAAGTTAGGACAATTAGGGATAATAACATTAAGAACATTCCTGAACATTTTTCCATTGATTTCACAATTTTCAACCTCTGTAGATCTATTAGCCCAAGTCACATAGAAAACATGGGTTACATCAGTGAGAACAGATAGTTTAGATTGGGTATCCTCAGGATTTGATATGTCGCATTGGACATACTCAATAGGATGATCGGCGTTCCACGATGGCCTAGCCCGTCGTGCAACGCCGTATACCTTCCATGGACCACCGGGAGTGTCAGCGAGAGGGAGGATCTCGGCGAGGCTATTACCAACGATGCCGGTGACTCCTATAATTAGAGCAACACTTTCATACTTTGGTGGTGCTTCATCATCTTCGAATTTTTTCTGTTGAATTAGATTAGATTAGATTTACACTACAAACAAGAAATACTTTTGGGTATTCATTTTGATTGAAAAGAGAGAGATGAATTAATTACCTTAGCAGCACCAATAGCTCCAGCCCACCACCAGCTCATGTTGTAATATCAAATTTGCAGAAGAGAAAGAAAGTTGGAGAAGGTATAAATAATGATGGACAATCAGTATGCAGTAGCATATGCATATAGACAGACAAGGGACTGCGTGACGGTAGGTGACTTGTGGCTATGCTATTCTCTCTATTTCTATAAAATATTCGGTATTGATTTGGCTTCAACATGCCTTGTGTTATGTTCTATTTTAATTAGGGCGAAATGATCTAATACACTTTTAAAATTGATTAATACATTGTGGTACTTGTATGCGTTTGTAATTTCAATCTTTCTTAACTATGTGTTAATTGAATCCTTAAATTCAATAAAACTCTATCTTCTATGCCCTTCTAATTGTTGACTAAGTTATATGGCAACTTAATTATTGAGTTAACACAAACGCGTGATGTCACATATAGAGGCGTGTGAAACATCAAATTTTAGATAAAAAATATTTTTTTCCTTTTAAAAAAAGATAAAAAAAATAAAAATTAATTTCTTCTCTTTTTTTCCCAGTTCTTTGTTCTTTAATTTCCCACCCCACCCATGACTCAACCCCATTTTTTTTCTTTTCTTTATCTCATTTCTGGTCCTTTTCAATTTCTTGGTTCTCTCTTCTTCTTTTTACATTTTCTTCCTTTTGAGAATAGAAACGAAATTGTATTTTTGTTATAGATCTATATTTTCTTTTTCTTTTCGGAATAATTTATAACCCATAAAGTGATAAAGATTCAACAATCTTGAAAGATGAAAAGTTGAATGTCTTTGTAAAATTAGGTGAATTTATTATGTAAAATTGTGTACAAATAATATTAGAGTATATTGATGTATTTTAATGGCTATTTATTAACATCAATGGAGAAAAGAGATTTATGGTGGTTCAAGTTGTAGATGTGAATGTTGGTAAAAGAAATACAATTAAAAGTTGTGAATGAAAGAAATTTTGAAAAAAAAATGAAAGGATAACTGTTAGTTATTTAGAAATATAATGATACTAGTTAGAATGGAAGGTTGTGGTAGTATCTCTAATGTAAAAAAAAATAGAGAGAGGTGAAGGGATGAAAGAAGAATTGAGTGACAAAGAAAGAAAATCAGATTTTTTAAAGAAAAATCATAATAAATGAAGTGTCATTTAAAATATAATGTGGATGATGATATGTCATTTTTGTCAAGTGTTTGAAGCTCACACAGCAGAAAGAGTTTAAAATGCTTAGTTTCACTGAGTTAAAGGGTTCTATTGACAAAATAATCAAGTAAAATGGTCCATAATACAAACTCATACAAGTATAAGGATCTATTAAATCATGTTGCCCTTTGATTAGTTATGATGAAATTAATATTGAATGTGATTAGTTGTAATGAAATTAGTTATTTAATTTGTTATTGATAAATTAATATAGATGATATAAATTTTAAGAATAAGTTATTTGATTACAAAAATCTAGAGTATTTATTTTTTTTATATGTTTTCTTAAAGCTTTAGGAATTTTTGGCGAAAAACCTCCTTCAAATATGACTCGGATCTACTGTACTTCCTTATATTATTAAAGTGGGCAAAAAACATCCTTATAGTATCCAAATAATAAAAAGAATCATCTTTCACACTATTTTTATTAAGAAACTGATTGAACCAGTAATAAAATATCTTTTTTTTAAATTTGGCCATGCCCTAGCCATGATGAGAAGACCAAAGCTGTCTAAAATTAATTAGATATGGATAGAAAATGAATCTTTCATTCCTAGAATTTAATTTTTGTGTGTTGTTAGTTTAAATGTTTGTTGCATTATCAAATAAATGGACTTGCAACAACACATAAGTCTTGAAATATTTATACAATATGAGGTTCGATAGTTAGAAAGATTATGTAAAAGTTTCATTTTTAAAATATTACGCGCAATTAATTAGTAATTTTTTAAATAAAATATTTAGTATGTATCTACGTTATATACAATGCAATTCACATTTCATATAATGTACATATATGTTAGAAATTTAGTAAAACTACTTCACATTTTATTATGAAAAAATAATTACTTTATTCAAAAATTTTGAAGTTAGAGTTTGTATTTGACTATACTTTTTACAAAGATTATTTAGAATTTGAATATATTTTGTCTGGCTATGATTTGAACCCTCAATTTCTAAGAATTAAAAAACAAACTATTTGACTAGCTTAATCATGCCTACATTTTTCATTTAACTTGACACATTTTTTTTTGGTGGTGTGAGTTTCTTTAAAAAAATTAGGCAAAAAGGTGAAATTTGTAACTTTTTGGATAGTGCAAGGATAATTTTTGTTCACTTATATAATACAAGGATGTACTTTAGGTTTAAATCATACCTCGGGGATGATTTTAGCAAAAGAAACTCAAAGTTCTAATTATTTATTCTTCAAATAAAACTTTTATTATATTTTTTGCTCTCTCCAACTCTCTCGCTCGCCTCTCTCCTCTCTCTCAATATCGCTTGTCATATATACAAATACATATGTATAATATATAATTATATAACCAATGTACTTATACAATTCATCTCTCTCTCTCTCTCTTCCTCCTCTCTCTCTCTCTCTCCTAGTCTCACTCGTCTATCTCTTTCCTATAACATGTACCTACAAATTGTAATTATCAACGTATAGCTATGAAGAGTAATTAGCCTATTTTTGAGTGGTTATATGTGAAAGTTTCCCTATATAAAAAAAGAATCTTAGGCCCACCTATGTGGTTCACAGACATCATTGTTTTTGTATCAATACATTGGTGCTCAGAATAATTTTCATTTTGAGAGGATCTATTTCTTTAAACCTTGAGTATTAGAGGGAGATAATTTTCTTAAGGTGATAATGTGCATTTTTTTCTTTCTGTTTCATTCTATTGTTATACATTCTGATATTTTTTTTTTACCGTCATTAATTTATGCTTATGATATTAGTTGTTGTTTTTGAGTATATGTTTTAAATTTTGTTGTTTGTTTCTGCAAAGTTATTGTTATAAGTATCTGTAAGTTATACTTTATTCATTTATTAGACATCTTATCACTTATCCTTCAATCAATCATCTTTAACTTGATTTTATCATTTATCCTTTTGCTTCCAGAAAACATTACTATTTGATATATTTGGGGAATCAAATGAACATTAACCCGAGATATTAAATTTTCTAATGAAAAATTAATTGTTGGTGAAGGAATAAATATATTTTTAAAGGCTAGAAAAAGTTAACAAATATTTTAATTTAAACGTGCACAAAATTCAATCCTACCTTTTGCTATACATATATCATTTTAAAGTCCCCCATTAAAAATCATAAGAAAATTTTAAAATGAAAAATAATGGGAGAATGTACCATGTTGGAAAACAATTCAACTTATAATATATACGTGAAAAAATATATTACAAAAAGTTATTCAGTTTGTTTAGGTGTTTTTTAAGAATCAGCATACCAGAGTTAGTTCAATTTGAAATTACAGTTTTATTTCATTCGCATTGTCACGAAATACATTTATTACTTCAATAAAAGTATTTATAACTTGCAATAAATTTGAGAATTTGTCCATACTACATATTCAATATGAACAATTAATTTATTGTATAGTTATCTATGTCTTTGGGATTAAAAAAGGCTTTAGTCTA